AGATCTAGAGTACTAAAAAGACTGAATGCTCTTTAAGAAATCCTGAATAAAGTCCACGTATTTCAGCTAAGCTTTTCATAGGTATTGAAATGCAGAGTCAAGATTATACTAGATGAATATTTAGAACTGTGTTAACAGTGAAGATTAGAACCATATGCTTTAATTCCTAACCTGGGTTTGAGGCGTTAGAAAATTTCGGGAGACAATGATCCGTAAACTAAGATCTGAAAGATGTGCACAAGTTAGTTACACTTTGGAGGTCAGACAGAAGAGTGATTCAGGCAGGGAGAACAGCATGGACAAAAATCCAAAGGCAAGAAAAAGTTATTATATCTATAAAGAATAAATATTCAGTGGTCATGAAACAAAGAACTGGTGTCAAGGTGAGGGTGGATGCTAAAAACGGGACTGGAAAACTAAGGTGGGGCATATCATAAAGGAATCTAGGAGTCAGGCTGAGTTTAGACCTAATCTTCAGAACAAAGGGACACAATGAAAAAATTTTAATCAAGTAAGAAAGCCTTTCAAGTTTACATTTTTTATGTTATTTTATTTTAAAAAAGATTGAGAGAGAGAGAGAGAGAGGGAAAGCTGTGGGTGGGGGAGCAGAGAGAGAGAGGGAGAGAGAAACTTAAGCAAACTCTGTACTGAGCGCAGAGCCAGATTCGGGGCTTGATCCCACGACCATGAGATTGTGACCTGAGCAGAAACCAAGAGTCAGAGCCTTAACTGACTGTACCACCCAGGTGTTCAGAGTTTATATTTTTTAAAGACATTTTCTTATCTTATTAGCACTAATCCAAAAGTAAGGTTGTTAATCTACTTCTTTGTTTTCCCCATGCACAACTGTAAGCTCTAGGAAGACAGAGCCCTTATTCACAATTGTATCTCTAGCACTTAGCTTATTATCTGGCACACAGTAGGTGACCAAAAAATATCTGTTGAATAAATGTTAAAGCACACAATTCTGTACTTCACTGGTAACACAAAAGTGCTGTATTCTGCTTGTAGTATGGAGAATGAGTTGGGGGGAGATGTGGAGTACACAAAAAGAGGAAGACCAATTATTACAGCCTATATAGATATATAGTAATATCAACTGTATTCTCAACACAAAATGACTACTGTAAGTACAGGACTACTGTAAATACAAGAATGTGAAAAGCCTTTGGGAAGTTTTAATAAAATAGTCAATGTAATAGTCACTATTCAGAGTAAACAAGATAGTTTCTGGGGCACCTGACTGGCTCACAGTCAGAGAAGCTTGTGGCTCCTGATTTCAGGGTTGGAATCCCATGTTGGGTGTAGAGACTACTTAAAAAAGAAAATCTTTTAAAAACAAACAGGGGTGCCTGGGTGGCTCAGTCAGTTAAACATCCGATCTTATTTCAGCTCACGTCATGATCTCAGAGTCATGAGATCAAGCCCAGCATCAGGCTCTGCACTGAGCTTGGAGCCTGCTTGAGATTCTCTATTTTCCTCTTCCCTTCCCACTGCCGCTTGCGCTTACTTGCTCTCTCTCAACAAACAAAAAAGAAGAAGAGGAGGAAGACTGGGAACAAAGGCCAAATAGGTGATGATAGCTCAAACTAGTGAAGTTGCAATGAGAATAGAGAGAATATGGAGGTAAAACTGGCATTACTTAATTACAGTGAACCTGCAGATAGCATTGGCATACTCTTGTGAAAAACAAGGCACCCAAGAATAACACTAGCCAAAACTAGAGGGTCAATCCATCTCTACTCTTAGAATAGCCATGAGCAGGGACACGATATAATTTTGTTCCACTTACAGACACACAAACTAAGACAGAAATTAGGTAACTTGTTCAAGGTTACTTGACTAAGGACTGAGACAGGCTCTGGAGAGCTAAAAGAGCAGTTCTCAACTCTGGCCACAGGGGTATCAGAAACCCCTGGGGCCCAGAGGAGACAGACAGAGAGAAAGTGGCACATGGGTGGTGGTAGAAAAGAAGGGATAAATAGGAAGGAAGAGAGAAAGAGAGGGAAAGGAGGAGGGGGAGGGAGGGAGGGGAAGTAGGAGGAAGAGGGAGAGAAATAAAGAGGGAGGGAGATGGAGGGAAAAAAAAGAAAGAAAAACGAAAGCGATTTTAGTTTCACTCTACTGTGCCAACAGAGCCACTGAGGTTTCACAATTCCAAATAAACCACAACAGTTTAGGCGGGAAAACTGTTCACGTATGCAGTCTAACCAGACGTTCAACTCTGCCATAAAACTCCTCAATTAAAGCATCATACAGCCTCTGGACACTGCAACCTGTAGGCATACTGTCAAAATTAAGCACTTGGAAAATGTGTATCTAGGCAAAAGAGTGATAATTTCAAAAGTTCAATAAATCAAATCAAGCCCCTGGCAGTAAGCCTTTTAATACCTCTAATTTTTTTTTTAAGATTTTATTTATTTATTCGACAGAGAGAGACACAGCGAGAGAGGAACACAAGCAGGGGAAGTGGGAGAGGAAAAGCAGGCTTCCTGTGGAGCAGGGAGTCCAATGCAGGGCTTGATCCCAGGACCCTGAGATCACGACCTGAGCTGAAGGCAGACGCTTAACCAACTGAACCACCCAGGCGCCCTTACCTCCAATTTTATTTAGAAAAAAAAATCCAAATGTCTTGCATTTGTACAAGGCACTGAACAATCAGAGTTTTAACTATTTTTCTACCCTCATTTCATACCAACCTCCCTGCCCCCAACTCTTTCTGGAACACACTAAGTTCTTTCCTGCTTTGGGAACTTTGTACTTGCTCTTTTCTCACTTTTTTTTTTTTTTTAAGATTTATTTATTTATTTATTTGACAGACACAGAGATAGCAAGAGCAGAAACACAAGCAGCGGGAGTGGGGGAGGGAGAGCAGGCTTCCCTCCGAGGAGGGAGCCCGATGTGGGACTCGATCCCAGGACCCTGGGATCATGAACTGAGCCAAAGGCAGACGCTTAATGACTGAGCCACCCAGGCGCCCTCTTTTCTCACTTCTTAACATGGTTCTTCCTAGTTCTCTACTTCTCATCTTAAATCTTGAAGATAACCCCTGCAGAGATGGTTTTCCAGCCTGCTTTATCTACATGGGACCTCCCATGTGACTTATTCTCATGGCAGCCAGTGTTCTGTCTTCACAGTACTTAATGGGAGACTGCAAGTCTCCCCACCAGCATGTGAGCCCTCTGAGAGGGAGGGATCTTACCCTATCTCTCAAGCACTGAAAACATGTATGGCACACAGATGCTACTGAAATATGTTGGGAGGGAGGAACGGAGAGGATCAAACTTAGATGCTAGCAGATGTCCGACAAATATTATTAATGAATGAACTTGTTCACATGGAATAATTCACCATTAATCAATTAAAAATTGAAGAACACACAGCAAAATTGGTGATTCTGATTTGTAAGAGTTGACTATAGCAGTAATTAGGGAATGAATCCATACTTGTCACTTCTCCTAATACCTCTAGTCCATGGTGGTAAAACCATAATGATAAAAAAAGTTACTGCAATTTAATGTAAATTTAAAAAAAGAATATAAAAGTGTGTTAAATTTTATACAATAAAATTTTTGAAAGAGAGAGAGAATGCACGGGGGAGGGGCAGAGGGAGAGAGAATTTCAAGGAGCCTCCATGCCCAGTGTGGAGCCTGATGTGGGGCTTGATCCCATGACCCTGAGATCAAAACCTGAACCAAAATCAACAGTTAGATGCTCAACCCACTGAGCCACCCAGACGCACCTACAATAAATAAATTTTTAAAAACTAGAGGGAAATACATCAAAATGATAACAGATTACATCTGGATGGTTTGATAGTTTTTTTACATCTTTCTCTATTTTCCAAATGCTTTATATAAATGAGCATATTATTACTTTGATAATAAAATTATCATTTTGCTGGCTCTGAAGCTAGCCATAACCATGAACAAAGCATTATACTGATCAATTTTGCAAATTACTATATAATAATAACTCATTTTTAAAAATCTTTAAATGATAGTAGTCATTAAAACTTACCCAGAGTGAATTTTTGTACTAAGTCTCTGTTATTAACATTCTTTGCCACTTTTTTCTTTTAATCCTGGGAAGTAGTTTAAGCATGGTGGAAAAAACACCTCTGCACTCATTTCCCCCAGAAAATAAAGCTCTAGCCTCTGCCTAGTAGGAAATACGAGAGAAGAGTCCTGAGGGTCCCTTCATGTGCACTTTTTAACTATGGTATACTATCTTCTGTTCAAATCTTTTTAAAAGTTTTTCTCATAAATATGAACTATTTGAATAAAAAGATCTATTTTTATAATAGCTAAAAGAAAAAGCAAACTGATCTAATTTCTCAAATTAGGCATTTTAAACCACTGCATCTTAACTACCATTCATCTGTGTATAATAATCACAGGCAAAGTGACTACTATTCAGGGTAACTATGTAAATTATTATCCAAAATAAGATACTTGAGAGTGAATCAGGGGTACTACTAATAACTATGCCAAGGCAATATGCATAACACTGAGACTATCTCAGGCAAACCAGTCACCCTATTATGAGGAGAATAACTTGGAGCTGAGCTTGCAAACTTAAAAGTCATTACCAGTTACACGAAGTCCTTCCTCAGAACAAAGACATACTCTACCATGCTACTGCCTAATATATAAGTCACTACAGTGAAAGCAGAAGGCGGAAAGGATTAGCAAACACAGAATAAGACAGTTTTTAAGATATTAATTCTTGCAAAGCCCCACCAAGCAAGCACACACATAAATAATGCCTTTAGAAATTTACATATTGTCTTTCTGCTCAAATAATGTAACCTGTATATTTTAAACAGATAAAACTGGGTAATTCAGCTGGTAGATTTTTCTTCCTCTTACTCAGAATTACTTCAATTAAAGACATGGGGAAAGGGTGAAGAATGGTTAGAAAGAAAAGAAAATGGGCTATATATAGTCTTCTACCTAAAGTAGTTAAGACATGAGAGAAGAATCACTAAATGCCTTTACCCATTCCAGAGTCTTTCTTGGTGCCATCTGATATTATGTCTACATGATCAGAGTCCACATCATAACTAAAGAAATCATTCAAATAGGTCTTCGATCGCTGGCCACCAAATACATATAAGCAACGATTTTTCTGAAAAACAAGGAAAAAGGGCAAAGAAGGGAGAAAGTAGTCACTTCCATGAAGAATTCAGAATGATCCTTTTAAAATTTAAACTTCTATAAAAGCAATTTTATGACAGATCCCATGCAATGGAGTACTATGCTGGTATAAAGAGGAATGATGAAGCTCTCTATGTACTGAGAGGTGATCTCTAGGATACCTTATTAAAGTAAAAAAGCAAGGTACAGAATAATGAATGCAGTGTGCTGCCTTTGCATAAGAAAGGAAAAAAAGGAATGTGTGTATGTTTGTTTCTTTCTTCAAAAAGAAACAAAGGAAAGAAGCTAATTAAAGACCTTAATGGGAAGGGACAGAGCAAGGAAGACAGATAGAAACCAGATCTCTCCAAAAGTACACTGACTTACAGTTTTGCCTTTGGAATTATGTATATTGCTTTTATTTAATTAATTCAAAAGAAAAAAGCAATCTCTGCAATTTGAAAAACAATGAAATAAACTATCTTTAATGAAATAAACCTATCTGTAAAGATATGACCACACAGAGACATGATCACACATAGTATTTCTAGTGATTTAATTCATGTTTTTTGACTACCCGTCCCTACCTATATCCTGAACAGAAAAATAATCAGAAAGTAACCTGAAACATTCAGTAATTTTTGTTAGTTCTGTGATTCTGTAAGTACTATAGAAAAACATAAGAATATAATACTGTCATTAGGAAGTAGGATTTTAACCTTAAAAGATACATAAAGACAAAATCAAAGGGATATTAAATTTAAAAACTCAATAATTCTTAATTTGAATCGGTCATGTCAGTATGAACTAATGATTTAATTTTTCTCTTACTAAAAAAGATATATATTTATTTATGTAACATACATATGTGTGTATATAGCTATATGTATGGGCATACTGAGAAGGGGCATTCCTACTGGACAAAGAAAAATTTGGGCATCAAAAAGAATAATGACAGCACTGAATTAAAAACATCAAATATATAAAAGTCCACACATTCATAATAATGCTTAAAAACTATATTGGCTAATTTTGGAGCTTCAACTCATTACTATGAAAAGGTGACAGAGGAAAAAAAATCAAACATTTATATTACCTATCCTGTGTGGTGTGCACATCAGGGTAGCCCAAGAGTTAATGAAGGTAAGTTTTTAATATCAGAATCGGTTAATAAATACAGAATAAATAACATAATTAGAAAAATCACCATTTTATAAACCCTACACAACAATTATCAATGACTGCAAAAGCCATTTGGTAAACTGTTGACAAGAACCTTCATTACTCATCAATCAGCCTGATAACACCTAAACCCATCAAATAATTTTAATATCACCAAAAGTATGATAACTACACATTAAACGCTTCTTGATATTTTGCAATCACACCATCTTTGATGTATTCTTGCATTTCTCCTTTTGCATTCCTCACCCCCCAAAAAAGAGAAAATCTAAAATCAAGCCTCTAGATCTAACTATCAGCTTATAGGAAATATGGAGACTAGATGATCACAATACTACAAAGATAAAATTAGCCAAATCAAGAATATGGGACATTTGAGAACACATATGATTCAGTTTCTTTAACAAGTAAATAAATGGTATACGAGGGGGAAAAAAATAGGAGCAGGGAGTACTGTTATGCTTAAAAGAAATTTTAGAGACATAACAACCAAATATAATACATAGACCCGTTTTAGAGTCTGACTTGAATAAACCAACTATAGAAAGGTATTTTTCAGTATTTCAGAAAATAAAATGAATGCAGACTATGTATTAAATGATAATATGAAACTGCTGATGCTTTTGTTGAGTATTACAATGGTATCATAATTATGTTTATAAAAAAAACCTCATCTGTTAGTGATACACCATAGTATTTATAGGTGTAGTGACACACTGTCTGGGATTGGCCCAGCAAAATAAAATTTCAGAATAAACTTAAAAATCGGAGAAACAGCAAAGAAAATGAAATTTAAGTGGGATAGATACATGACAAACGAACAGTGGAATATTGCTAACAGTTGAAACAGATAAATAAGTACACAGGAATTTATTACTCTTTTCTCTACTTTGATATATATTTAAAATATTCTACAATATGTTTTTAAAGTTAACAGAAAGAAGCCCAAGTTTTCATATAACATCTGAAAAGGTTAAAGAAATGGCTCCATATTGGTTTTGCTGACAAATTTACATTCTAATTCTATAAAGTCAATTCTTAATTCTTCGTACTTAATGGAGAGTGGCAGAGATGAAAATAAAATAGATGATCTTCTAGTTACTAAGAGAAATAAGTAGAAAGATAAACAGAAAGAAAGATACATAGAAAGAGAAATAGCTACAGTATCTGTATAAGCAGTAGTTAGTCTTAAAAGTGTAGAGATTAGTATTCAAGTAATAACTATTTAGGAATTACTATGTTAATAGTAAGAGTCTTATAACTAGCAACCAGTTCACTGTTGAGGAAGTTTTATTTTTGTCTATCATTGCTAACACTAATCATTTATTTTTAATGAACAGTTTTGATCTCTTTCTGAAGATTTGGATTTTGCTACTTCTTTTTTTATTGAGAATATACATGACAAAGTAACAACACAATGTATAGAATATTCTTACTGAGTGGAATAGCATGCAGTGTCCTATCCGAGACTGGATGTCCTCAGGCCCAGCATTACAGGAGTCCTCTCGAAGAAGTTTCCAAGTTTGACATTGACAGTTGAAAGCAAACAACCCACTGAACTGTGGTTCACTGGCTCTGCTGTCGTCTACGCTGCCATTACATGTCAAAATTCTACCACCAAAGGTGTAGATCATATGTTTTTCTGAGTCCATACACATCTATCAGAACAAGGCAACAGATTGAATCGTTACAGATTGTTCCTGTCATATGTGCTAAAATGAAACCAATGTGTGCAGTTTTAGATTCTCGAGAAACTAAACTTTGTCTTAATAACACTAAATACCACCCCTGATTATCATGTGCACTTACTGCAATAATGCTTACCAACTGGCAGAGATTCATGATGCATTTCTAAATACCTTTTTGGGTTTCTGTTTTTTGCAGTGAGAGCAAAATATATTGGGTTAAAGACCTTTATGCTTTCTTGAAACTGTATAATTTTTACCAAATCAATCAATAATACATGAGGTGATTAATACCAAAGACTGAATGCTAATCATACTCTACGGGCAAATAATGATCACACCCTCCTTATAAAAACTCCCTTCTTTCTATTCTAGGCAAGCATCCATCCTATTAATCTTGCTACCCTTTAATCAGAGGGCGGGTATGTCAATAAGAGTGATACAACTAAATTTATCTTTCTGCATTTATTTTGCAAAGCTCTTCAAATTATGTTGTTACAATATAGTAAAACAAACAAAGAGATGTTGGCAGCAGTCTCCAGACTGACTTCTCTCGTAATGAATCTGCCTCCTTTAACACAGTATTATAAATTTAATTTTCTTTGAGGTATGTTATACAATTTATGTTGATTCTTTCATTCTTTCCACTCAAGGAGATCATGGCTTTTCATAAAAATATCTCTGAGAAAAAAGCCATTTGTCACAAGACAGTAAGAACCAAATTCTATTTCAAAGAATATGTGAGTCCTAGTTGGGAATTAGATGTTGAACACAAATGGCATTAATATTTAAGGAATAAATTGCATATACAAAACATCTATCTTTTGGCTAAAGCACAAATACTAGCCATTATATGTTCAATTTTCTCCTCCCATCAAATTGTGCTATTTGCCTATTTTTGTATTGTTTTCAGGAAAAGCTATTTTCATAATTGTAAATTTTGCTTTTTTAATTAATATTAAAAAGAAAAGATTCTAGCATCTCCTAATTTTTCCCTAACCACTAAAAGATCCAGTCACTTGCCATTTCCCAGGTTTCTGACAACCTTCCATAAATTAAGATGAAAATCTATTCCTCAAGGGTGAAATCTTGGTGAATATGGTTCAAAGTATTCCCACTTTTTAATCTTAAATGATCGTATCATTAAAAGCTATCCATAAGTTGCTCAAGACAACTCCGTATGGCCCCATTCACCTACTACATCACCATCTGAGGTTTCAGTGAACCTGAGTCACATTACCCTGTTCTAGGCACTGAAGGCTCACATCTCTCCAAACACCTCAGGATCATGTTGAAAAACCTAAGGCCCCACATTATGGGAGCCTATTTAAATTTTTACAAATTTACAAATTCATACTAACTTTGGCCAAACTCTGTTATCCAGCTTCTATGGTTCTACTTCAAAAGGAGTTTCTATTTCCTTCTGGGGATATTTAATTTTGATGTGGCTATTCTCATTTGTTATTAGTGGTGAGGCATAAACATCTTTATCTTGGTAACTCCACCATACCAGACCAAACCAACTCAAAAAAAGAGTGAGAAACTATAGTAGCTTCACTGACTCTTTCCCATATCTTAGAACAAACAGGACATAAAACAGATCAAATTAATTTTATTCCTTCGGGTTGGTTCTTCCCAAGATAAGCAGTGTCAATGAGGGTGAGTTATCAAACAAGAACTGTTAACCACTCTAGGAAACTTCATGTTGTTCAGTTTATGATTTCTTTTTCATTTTAACCTCTGAAAAAAAGTTCTGAAAAGCTAATAACCTATTAAAGTCTGTATGATAATATTAACATCTTTTCTCTTGAAGATTTCAAGAGATCATTTATATCAAATCTTGGAAGACCATTCACTCATCTACTCTATCAGGTTAGATATTTAATTCCTAAAATCAAACAAATAGTGGATAGCCACTTATTCCCCACCCCAATGTTTTAAAATCCAAAAGTCTTTTACTCTGTCACATGATCACAAGATTGGCTAGGATTAGGCTGGGTTCAAAACCATTTTTCTCCTCACAAACTCTGAAGCTTTCTAACCAGTGTTGCTCAACACACAAACCTCCAAAAATGCTTCATGTTAATCTACCCCTTGCTTACTTACAAAGGTAACCAGTTTCCTCTCTGCAGCTTTTAGGATTTTCTCTTAATCCATGGTTCTAAAATTTCATTAAGAAAGTATCTAGAAACAGCGCAGAAGATCATAGGTCAAGGGAGGGAAAACTGAAGGGGAAGTCATGAGAGAGGGAGAAAAACCATGAGAGACTCTTAACTATAGGAAACAAACTGAGGGTTGCTGGAGGGGAGGTGGGTCAGCGGATGGGGAAATTGGGTAATGGTTATCAAGTAGGGTACATGATGTGATGAGCACTGGGTGTTATACGCAACTGATAAATTACTGAACACTACATCTGAAACTAATGATGTACTCTATGTTGGCTAATTGAATTCAAATAAAATATTTTTTTTTTAAAAAAAGAAAGTATCTTGGTAGGGATATTCTTTTTCATTCATCCTAATCTGTCCCTGGTGTTCCTTTAATTCTAAAAACTGTCTTTCTTCAGTTCTGGGACCTTTCTTCCTTTTTAACCTTAAGGCATGTTGTTTTCACTTTGCTTTCATTCTCTTTTTCTAGAACTCCTATTAGGTGGATATTAGAACTTCAGGATCTTTTCTCTGTTCCTTAACATTTCTCTCATAATTTCAGCTCACTAATATAGCAACTTTTAGAGATGAGAGCTTTTTAATCAATTGACTGAGACTTTTATTTGGTTATCAAATCTTTAACTTATAATTTTTTTAGATATTTCTTTTTCATGGATGAAACAGCCTCCTGAATTGCTCTAAAAATATCACTTAAACTTATCTTAAAGGCTTCTCCAGTCTATACTACTAGCTGTTTTTGTTAATTCTTAATCTGTTGAGTTCACTACCCCTGTCTGTCTCATGGTATTCATTACTTTCAAATATCTTATTTTTTTGGCTGTTGATCTAATCCTCTTTGTATCTGCAAATTCCTGTTCACCTGCCTCTTCATATACAGCAGCTCTCTGGTGCCTCTTGGGATCATTGCTCTGTCCTGTCCAGCTCCAATGTCCACACTCAACACCAGACCCATGTGGACAATTACCCAAGATAAGTGCTGCTCAAACTGGAGAATGCCCTGCTGTCCAGTCCCCAATTGATCATCTAATGTCTGCCCCAGTTACATAAACTTTGAGACACTCTATTTTTTTCTTAAATAAACTTTGAGACTCTAGTTGCTACAGTCTTATGGGTTCTGGTTTCTTCTGGCTGGATCTGAACCCATTTGCTTTCTACCTTACTGGAACTCTCCCCAATTTTTGTAAGTTCCCCAAGGACATTCTTTCTTGTTTGCAACATTACTATTAATGTATTCTTTTGCATTTCATAGATTGTGGGGCAAGAGGACAGTAAAAGTTTACATTCAGCCTGCCGATCACCTAGTGACCCAGGGAGAAGGTCAATGAACTGAGATATTCAGGCCTTTGATTGAAGTTTCTCCAGTCATTCCTGGCTAGCTTGTATTCTATTTTCTAGTAATTTCCTCCGAAAGTGTTTATACTTGGAAGGACAATTGGGCTAGATATAAAACCCTTGGCTCACACGTCTTGTCTTGAATACCTTCTAGATGTTGCTCTATTGTCTCTCTTGGCACTGAATGTAGCTGTAGAGAAATCTGAGACCAGACTCATTTTATTTATCTTATAGATGACTTGATAATTTTGCCTCCTTGCCCCAAAATGCGTCTTTATCTTTGAAATTCAATATGAATTCTATTATATGTTCCCAAGTTGAATGCCTAGGTCAATTTTCCCTCAATACAGCATGCCCTTTTGATATGTAAGTAGTCTTGAATTTTATTTATAAATATTTGTTCTGCTCCACTGTTTTGGTTTTCTTCTTTAATGTCTCCAATTATGTGTATGTTGGCTCTCTTTTGACTGTATTCTCTATAATTTTCTGGCTAATCCTTTTTACATCTTTATTACTGTTCTCTTTATCTGCTCTTATTTCTGTGCTATATGACCCTTACCTACTCTTCATATTCCTTGTAGATTACCCTTCATTTCTGAAAGTGGTTATGTTTTTCTTTAATTTCATTCCTGAATTTTATCAGGTCCAGTTTCACCTATTCTTTTTATTTGGCCATCTCATCTGCATTCTTGAATTTATGCTTTGTAGTCTTCTTCACAGTTTCAAGCAGCATTATGCCGTTTAATTCGTGTTAGAATACTGGAATATAATTTTTCATTTGCTGTTGCATGAAGGAAAGTTTTGCTTTTCTTTTTCTTTTTATTGTTTTTCTTTAGAGTAACTCTCTAAAGATTTGGTGTTTACTGCTTTTAGTTTTTCATATTTAAATGAGTTTAATTTCCCTGGACCCCAGATAACAGAAGGTTCCTATACAAGGGTGATATTCTTGCTCAAGGATCTCTTCTGTTGCTACTGAATTAAATGGCTTCTTCAAAATATGGTGCTTCTGTGAAGTCATGTCTTCTCTATGAACTTCATCTGGTTTAAGGGGCTTCTATTTCATGCCTTGAGTTCTCCCCTATTACATTGTGTGGGCTTCAAAACTAGTTCTGGGTATTTCAGTTCTTTCTGGCTAAACTTATAAGGAATTGGGAGTTGTGGGTTTCTCTGGTTTCTGGTTTTACTGAATATGTGACTTATGGGGATGTTTTTCCTTAATATTTTTGTTTGGTTCTCATTGTCACTGAAAATCATATAAAGCAACATGGAAAACTTCAGAACTAAGCTGCCACTACAATCTTAAAAAATCTAAGTCTTTAATTTTTTTTTGTTAAAATTTTAAATGGCCAAAGTAACTTCTAAACATGTCTACATGCCTCTAGCTTTCTCACGTTCTTCTCAAATTTGAACGCTATGTGTCAAGTCTTAATGTGTCATGAATGACCCTAAGTAATTTTTGGAGTAGCTTTATTTACATGAACTAGAATAGAAAATGGGGGCTTATAAAGATTGTGTTAATTGTTAATATCCTGGTTTCTTCACCCCCACTGTTCTTCTATTACATCTAATCAGATGAAAATCAAGCATCATGTAACACAACCTAGCTTTCAAGGAACATTCTATTTTATCAAAGCCAAGACAAAGAAAGGTCACAGACAGGACAATAAACAGGTTATACTCAGGCTACCCTAAGCTATTCTTTTTTCAATCTGTAAAAATAAAGATATAAGCATCTTTTGTAAAAGAAATCTGTAACCAGTTGGAAGAAAACAAATGGTTTCCCTAATAGCGTTATTTGATGACCAGCCTAACATTTTTTGAAGTTATTATTTTCCATATGAACAACAATGAGGATGTCAGCAGGGAAGTGCAAACCTTCAAAGAGCTCAGTTATGGAGAGCCAGCAGAAGTTCTAATTCAATCTGGGGGATACTTTGAAGACTAACGTTTTTGATTTTCCACCCACCATTCACTTGATAGGCATAAAACCCACTCCTCTTTTCCTTACCATTCTCCTATTAACAACTACTTGTTAATATAAATGTCAGCAGGATAGTTTAAAAGCAAAGAATTTAAAAAAACTCTAAAGAAACAATAAATTAAAAAAAAGACCAGGGTTTTTTAGTTAAGATATTAGGCCGAAGCTAGATTCTGTCATTATCTTAGCACCACTTACCATTTCTCAAGTACGAGATAATGCTATGTTCATCAATATAGTGTCACAGATTTTTTAAAAAGTCTTTTTCTCACCCATACTACAAAAAAACTTCTGGATATGGGTTGAGCCAAGTAAAACTGCCTACAGAATTCAGTAGTTACTGTTTTGTGTACTGACCTATACTAAACTGATCTGGACTAAATATTCAAAGACTGGTAACAATGATAATGACATTGATGGGGACGATGATGAGAACTACATGTGTATTAATATTAAAATGGCATACAAATTGCTATGTGTAGTCTTTTTGTCTATAGCACCATTATGTGATTTCTCTTGGTGCTCAGTTCAAACTTAACTTTATCTAATGTATGTCACATTCCTATCTGCTTTTTATTGGGTTTATGATTATATACAAAAGTAAATGTATCTCACTCAAATTGGAAGAAAAGCTCTAGATTTCAAATTCTCAAACTCATTATAAAGTAATTTTAAATTTCTTCCAGGAATGTAGAATAAAAAGTTTTAAGAGTGTAAGTTGTTATTGTTGAGTTATGACCATTTATCATAAAATTAGTTTTTCCTAATATGTACTGCTCTATCTACTCTCTAAAGTTTTTATAAATTAATGTTTGTTGTCCTGAGATCTTAGTATTTTATCCTGCACCAAACAAGAGAAAAAAAAATATTAAAGGGTAACTTTATACCTACTGAAATAAGAGTTATTTTTATTGTCTATTCTAGGTATTTGTAGGAAATCACCAATAGAAAATGCAGCATAACATGTAAAATAAACCCTAAGAACAAGAGTTATTAAGCACTAAATAATTCCACCATATTATTTATCTGTGCACCAAACCTGATGATCAAACACCAATTTCGGCCCTCCATCAGCAGCAGTATCCTCACTAAGTAACATCCATGTGTTTGTGTCAATGTCGTAACGATAGAAGTCACTTTTCAGAGATTTGCTGTTCCTCACGGAGGAATCCAAATAACGCCCCAATGTGTAGATTTGCCTTCGTTGAATGTCAATGCACATTTTATGACATGACCTGGCACTAGGACCATTCTGTGGAGAGCAAAGAAAGAAAAAAGAAAAAAATTCAAAGAATAACAGAAAAATAAAATTAAATCCTTTTTTGTTGACTTTCATTAAAAGGTTTGCAATAGAAGTCCAACACAGGGTTTAAATCTTACCACAGAAATGCTTAAAACCTACCAGGAAAGAAGAGATGAACTATTGTATACCTTATGGCACTCTGTTTAGAACACTTATATGGCTTCTATTATACACCCATTGCATTTTAGTCATTTGTGCACACAGCTTGATTCTCTAGTACATGTCAATCTAAAGACACAATTGGTCTTTAAAATATTTCTCATTAAAATTTCTCATCAGAATCTAGCACAAAGCAGATACTCCAAGAATATGTAGAATTGCTGTATTTTGTAACTGGAAGGAACCCTAATAAAATCTCTAGTTTAATTATCTCCTTTTAAAGATGAGGAAACATAACCCTCTTCGAAGAGGAAAGGTGTCCTTCTGAAAGCCAGGAAACTAGTGACAGCACCAGAATAAAAATGCAAAATGTGACTTCTTTGTTTACCCTTTATATTACATAAAACTGACACTCCTGAGTGAATAAATAACACATAAATAACACAAAATGAAGAACACTATATTATCAACAAAATTAATTATTTGAGATCACTTACATCACTGGACTGAGTAAAAGGCAAAAAAAAATTGTAGTGTAGTATAAACTAAACATAGAGTTCATGGGAAAAAAGAGAACTTCAATAGGGCAGGATTTGATTAGTTGAAATGCGGGAAAAGAAAGAGAATATTTGTTAAATATCTCCTAAATTCTGTCCATATTATTACAATGTATGCATGTCTATATTTCATTCAATCCACATAACAACTCCATAAGGAAATATTACCATTTCACAGAGTCTAAGTAATCTGTCCGTAGTAACAAAACTAGGAAGTAAGCTAGAAAATCTAAACCCCAGTGTAACTAGAACAAAAAACTATGTTCTTTCCATTATTCCAGGCTGGTTTTTCCACAAGATAAGAGAAACAAAAGCAAAAACAGATTTAATCCAATGTGTGTGGTTATGATTGAGATGAAGACTTCCTACTACAGAAAGTTGAAGAGTGAGGCAGAAACAGAAGCCTGGTGAATGACTGACAGAGGAGACTGAATGTAATCTTGCAGGCAATAAACTATCATGGGTTTCTAGAGCAGAATTTAAAAAGCAGTATTATAAAAAGAGTATTCTAGCACTGTTATTTAGATTAAATGAATAAATAAAGATATTAGGCAGGAAGAATAATTTGACATTATTGTTATCAATCCAGATGTTAAATTGATTTGTATCTGTACTTTAGTATTCATACTAATTTTAAAACTTATTTTTAAAGATTTTTGTCAAGGAAAATCTCCAGCAGATAGGATGGAAATACTATTTTTTGAAAGAATGTCATCCACAGTTAACCTCAAAAACAAAGATAGGATAATATGTAATAAATCTATGCCATATATCCTAGAATGTGAAATTTTAACAGGGGAGGTAACAGAACTTCTTGCTTCAGCTGAATTAGCATAAATGCTATTAAAATGATGAGCAAATTATACCTTAAGTAAGAAGAAAAAAGGAAATAAAGATAAGAATAGGAACCAGAAGAATAGAAAACAGACAAAAAATAGAGATAATTAACAATGTGGGTTTCCTGAAAGAGTAATAGAATTATAAACCACTAGCAAGACTGATTATTTATTTATTTATTTTAAAGATTTTATTTATTTATTTGACAGAGACACAGCGAGAGAGGGAACACAAGCAGGGGGAGTGGGAGAGGGAGAAGCAGGCTTCCCACCAAGCAAGGAGCCTGACGCAGGGCTCGATCCCAGGACCCTGGGATCATGATCCGAGCCAAAGGCAGACGCTTAACGACTGAGCCACCCAGGCGCCCCAAGACTGATTTTTTAAAAAGGAAGAGAAAACACAAATTGCTAAATATGATAAATGAAAGCAGGAACATCACTTATAGGCTCACTAGAAGTTAAAAAGAAAAAAAGGGCTATTGTGAAAAACACAGGTAAAATCTGCAATGTAGATTCCTTGAAAAATTATAAACTTAACTAAAATTGACACAAGATGAGAGAGAAAATCTGAAGTCACTATTGAAAAATTGAATTTATAATTTAAAATTTTCTTCCCACAAAGAAAATGCCAGTCCTAGATACCTATACTGGTAAATTTTATCAAACATTTAAGGAAGAAATAATATTCCTAACTTATTTTATGAGGACAACAGAACACTGAAGCCAATTAACAATACTACTACAAAGAAGGAGGAGGAAAAATACTTTACAGGCAACCAGCAACGAGTATACCTCATGAACAGACACAAAACTAATCTTTAACAAAATATTATTAAATAAAATGCAGCAGTATATATAAAAAGGGTATTTCTTAACTAAAGGGGGTTTATCTCAGGAATGCAAAATTAATTTTACATTTGAAAACTAATCAAGGTAATTTACCACATTAAAAGAGAGGAAAACAATACGGTCTTATTTATATAGAAAAAGCATTTGATAAAATTCAACACACATTCATGAGGAAACTTCACAGCAAACTAAGAATAGAAAGGAGCGTCCTCAATCTAGTTAAGAATGTATGAAAATCGGGCGCCTGGGTGGCTCAGATGGTTAAGCGTCTGCCTTCGGCTCAGGTCATGATCCCAGGGTCCTGGGATAGAATCCTGCGTCAGGCTCCCTGCTCCTTGGGAGCCTGCTTCTCTCTCTGCCTCTCTCTCTCTCTCTCATGAATAAATAAATAAAATCTTTAAAAAAAAAAAAAGAATGTATGAAAATCCTAAATCTAATTTTTCACTTAATGGTGAAATACCCAGTGCTTTCTTACTAGGATCTGAAACAAGATAAGATGTCTATTCTCACTTCTTCTTCTTCTTTTTTAAAATTTATTTGAGAAAGAGCATGCGCATGCACAAGCACAAGTGGGGGGAGGGGCAGAGGGAGAGAGACAATCTAAAGCAGACTCCCCTCTCCATGTGGAGCCTAACTTGGGGCTCAATCTCACAACCCTGAGATCATGTCCTAAGCTGAAATCAAGAGTAGGAAGCTTAACTGACTGAGCCACCCAGGCACCCCATCACTTCTAATTAACACTGTACTAGAAGTCTGTCAGCACAATAAGGCATTAAAAAATAAAATAAAAGCTTGTAACAGAAAAAAAGAGTGGAAAGGAAGAAGTAAAATTTTCTCTATTCACAGATGACATGACTATTTCTTGAAAACATCCTCAGAAATCAACAAAGAAACAATGAGACATAGTACGTAAATTTATTTTTTTTAAAGATTTTATTTATTTATTTGAGAAAGAGAATGAGAGAGAAGAGAGAGCATGAGAGGGGGGAGGGTCAGAGGGAGAAGCAGACTCCCCGCTGAGCAGGGAGCCCGATGCGGGACTCGATCCCAGGACTCCAGGATCATGACCTGAGCTGAAGGCAGCCGCTTAACCAACTGAGCCACCCAGGCGCCCTAGTACGTAAATTTAGAAAAGTGACATGATATAAAGGCAATATTAAAAACCCAACTTGGTTCTCTATATTAGCAATAAGCAAACAGAAGATAATTTAGGGTGGGGCAGAGGGAGAGAGAGAATCTTTTTTTTTTTACAGATGTATTTATTTATTTGATGGAGAGAGAGAGCACAAGCAGGGAGAGCGGCAGGCAGAGGGAGAAGGAGAAGCAGACTCCCAGCTGAGCAGGGAGCCTGAAGCGGGGCTCGATCCAAGGACCCTGGGATCATGACCTGAGCTGAAAGGCTCAAACATTTTATTTTTTTTATTTTTAATTTTTTAAAAGATTTTATTTAATTGACAAAGAGAGACACAGCGAGAGAGGGAACACAAGCAGGGGGAGTGGGAGAGGGAGAAGCAGGCTTCTTGCTGAGCAGGGAGCCTGATGCGGGCTCGATCCCAGGACCCCGGGATCACGACCTGAGCCGAAGGCAGACGCTTAACGACTGAGCCACCCAGGCGCCCCTATTTTTAATTTTTTTTAAAGATTTTATATATTTATTTGATAGAGAGAGACACAGCGAGAGAGGAAACACAAGCAGGGGGAGTGGGAGAGGGAGAAGCAGGCTTCCCGCTGAGCAGGGAGCCCGATGCGGGGCTCGATCCCAGGACCCTGGGACCATGACCCAAGCCAAGCCAGAGGCAGACACCCAACGACTGAGCCACCCAGGCGCCCTGAAAGACAGAATCTTAAGCAGGCACCATGCTTAGCATGGAGCCTGATGCAGGGCTTGATCTCACAACCCTGAGATTATGACCTGAGCTGAAATCAAGAGTCCGACACTTAACTGAATGAGCCATCCGGGCATCCCATTTTTTTAAGTCTCACTTACAATGCATGAAAAAACAAAATACACTACCACCAATTTAATAAAAATATCCAAGAACTTCAATCTAAAAACTCCAGGAGTGCTGACAAAGAATGAAGACTGAAATAAATGGAGATTAACTACATTCATGGATTAGAAGACTTATTAAGACATCAATTCTCTCCAAATTGATTTACAGATTTATCACATTCCCAATCATAATCCCAACAGTTTTAGAAACTGACAGTATTATGATTCTAAAATTTATAATTTTTAGAAAGAAATAATAATAATTTAATAAGAAAGAAAGAAAATTTTTAAAAAGAAGAATAAAGAGATCTTACATTAACCTGACCTCAAGGAATGTCATACTGGTATATAAACAGACCAAAAGATACTGGAGCGAGACAGAGTATCCCAAAAGAGACATATACTTATATGATCAGTTGGGTTTTTGACTAAGGTGCCAAAGCAATTCAATAGGGAAAGAAGACAGGGAGCAACAAACTCTCATACATTTCTAGGAGGAATATAAAATGGTAAAATCACTCTGGAAAAAGCTATAGTAGTTTCATCAATGGATCGTAAAGGGTGAAAGTTTCATGAGTAATAGGGTACTTTCATAATCTCAAAATGTCTTCCCACAAGTTACTTATCAATTATTGAGGGGAAAAATCTGGAGGGCACTCTCCTTAACCAAGTGATCAGAGGTAACACCAAAGTGATACAATGTACCTCCTGATGGGATATTCTAAGGAGGACCCAATGTCATCCACATGGTATTTGTGCTAAAATGCTCAACCTAAATCCAGTCCTAAGGAAACAAGAAACAAATCCATCTGAGTGATAGTCTACAAAATAACTACTCTGTGTTCTTCAAAAATGTCAAGGTCAAGAAGGATAAGGAAAGGGTGAGAACTATTCCAGAATAAAGGAGACTAAAGACACATGACACTGAAATGCAATGCATGATCATGAGTCCTGGTCAGGGATGGGAGTTGGGAGTGACAATGGGACATCTATAAAGGACATTACTGAGGTATTACATGGATAAGTGTCTACATCTGGAAAGGGTCTGCAGATTAAATTAAAGCAGCAGTTCTGAGGACAGTCTTGGGTCTCCAAGACACTTCAGGGAGTCCAGAGTCAGTTTTTGTTTATAACACCACTAAGATAAGAATTTGTCTTTCGTTCTTATTCTCTTATTGAGTGTACATGAAATTTTCCAGAGGCTGCACGACTTCTGATGTAGTAACAGATTGGATACAGAAGCAGATATGAATCCAGCTGCCTTCTATTAGCCAAACATTAAAGAGATTTAGAAAACTAGAAAACTTTATATAAAACAGTGCTACTTGATGTATGGTGGTTATTTCAAGGAAATGCACCTATGTGACTGAGTTACAAGCTGACCCAGCCGCTTTTTCCATGGAACACTCTATTTATGTGAAAGAAAACTAACAATCCAAGTGCCGTTATTCAGATACAACGGTTATGAGACATTTTCTGAAAAAATGAATAGTTAGTATGTCATTTTGAAAAAAAAACTGACAAAATTTGTTGCCAATGATAAAAGCAAATTTTAAAATTTGTTTTTAAGCAAAAATTAGAATTTTTAAACCTTCTACCTGCTACTGTGATCTTGATACCTTCCCAATACTTACAAAACTTTTCTGATGAAATTGACAGTAATATTGACAAATATGGGTTTTTTGATATTGTATAATAAAATTTCAACATTTGGAAGATATGCAGAACTCAGGAAACCAGTAGTTTTCAAGTGACCAACACATGGGTAAAAAAACCATGCATGGGTAAAAGATCTATTCAAAAAGCAAGACAGAACAATGGATTTGAATGTAACAATACAAAACATTAGCTGATATGGTTTCAGAGTCTATAATGCGATCACCTTTAAGAAAGAACCACTTGTCATTTTGGGATATGAGATCAAAATAGACCATGTGCAAATATCTGAAAAGGTTATTAAAATACTACTCTCCTTTCCAAAAATATAACCATGTGAGGTCCAATTTTCTTCATATATTTCACGGAAAACAACATGTTGCAAGAGATTAAACACAGAAGCAGATAGAAGAATCTAGCTGTCTTCCATAAAGCTTGACATTAAAGAAATTTATAAAAATGCAAACTAAAGAAAAATACATTTGTTTCAAACCTTTATAAAAACTTACTTGCATATCTATATGAACATTTAAAGTAATTATTCTCTTTAAGAGCTGAGCCATTCTATTATCTATCAAACTCCTAAATGTGTTATTAGATACATATTTAAGTAAATTAAAGTGAATTAAATTAATACTGCCTCTTAATTGCATATCATACTTTTGAAACACATGCCCTGGGTATCATCAAATAATACCTTGTACTCACTCACTGGTATAGAAAATAAAATGAGATATATGAAATATTAACTGTTCAATTTTGGAAGGAATGAATATTCATGCTACAGCCATATACTATTACCATTTATTTCATAGAAAAACTAACGAAAAGTTTTTAGGCATCTATAGGAAGAAAGCAATAATAAAGGCATATTGAATCTGAACTCCAGTACTGAGTCACCACTGACTTTAAAATAACAGCAACAGTCTTCTCATCAAAATAATTTCTGTATTTTTCCAGTACTAGTTTAAAATAATAATTTTTTAAAGATTTTATTTATTCATTCATATACAGACAGAAAGAGAGAGCATGAGCAGGGGAAGAGGCAGACGGAGAGGGAGAAGTAGGCTCCCCGCTCAGCCAGGAGCCTGATGTGGGGCTCGATCCCAGGACCCTGGGATCACGACCTGAGCTGAAGGCAGATGCTTAACCATCTGAGCCACCCAGGGCCCCCAAACATAATTATTTTTTTTAAAGATTTTACTTATTTGACAGAGAGAGACACAGCCAGAGAGGGAACACAAGCAGGGGGAGTGGAGAGGGAGAAGCAGGCTTCTCGTGGAGCAGGGAGCCCAATGTGGGGCTCGATCCCAGGACCCGAGGATCATGACCTGAGCCAAAGGCAGACACTTAACGACTGAGCCACCCAGGCGCCCCTAAAATAATTATTAATTGCATTCCAAATATTACTTATATATAACATATGTAAATAATATAAAAATAACCACGTCCAGTTTCATAAATAGAACATTAATATGACCTCTGAGTTCCCCTGTAAACTAACCTCCTCTCCTGCCAAAATAGCTACTCTCCTGATTTTGTATTTATCTTCCCATGCTTTTCTCCAGCATTAATTTTTCATTTAATTTATCTCACCTATTTGCTCACTAAAGAATAAACATATGATTCATGCTCAGAGTCTAAGTAGGGAAACAGAAATGTAAACTACTCATTTTAGTTACCTACTGAAGGAATTAAGTGGTTAAAAGTGGGCACACCAAAGGAAGCTTCTATGTGGAAAAGTCAAGAAAGGTTTCCCCGAGAAAGCCTGAACTGAGTTTTAAGAATAAATAGGTGTTTACTAAGTAACAGCTAGATGCATGGGAGGAGGAACCCTCTATTAATTTCAAGCAGAAAAGAACATTATTGCCAAGGGACCATCATGTAAGAGAGTTGAATTCCAGCAACTAAAGGTGTGGCTGGCACATAAAGTCAGGAGATGAGGCAAGAAAAGTAAATGGGGACCAAATATGATGAGAAATTTGAAATTTATAATCTAAGCCAAAGGAGCTAAGGTTGATAAAGTGCCTTATCATTATGATTGTTGTTGCTATTATTCACACTTTCCTGTATCTATGCCCTTTGATAGTGCCCCTCACCATACAGTGACTCTAGCTTTGGCCATATGACTTCCTTTGGCCTATAGGACAATAACAAATTTAGTGGCGTGCTCATGTCTACCTTTTCTCCTTGCGGCCCTGCCCCTGACATGCCCCAAGCCCCAGCTAGCCAACAGGAAGGTGAGCAACTATGTAGAACAGAGCCAAGTAGCCCCCGCTTGAAGCTATGCTAGACTAGCTGACAGCCAGCTGACTCCGAGACACATGAATGTGCCCAGCCAAAACCAAAAGAATGACGCAGCCAATCTGTAGACTCGTCAACAAAATAAACACCTACTGCTATATGCCACTGAGGTTTGGTGGGTGCTTAGAATAGACGGAATGTAAGACATAAGTGAAACAGGGACTGAAGCTAACCATAGGGGTTAAGCACGTATCACATGGCCAAATATGCTTTTTAATGAATGGAAAATAGACAGCAGATTAACAGCGGAGGCAAAAGTTTAAGAAAGAAGCCATAGTGTTGGAATTAGTGCCAAAAGGAGTAGAGCAGGAAAGACATCTGAAATGCAGTATTGGGTGCTAGAAATGTTGGAACTTATGCACTAATTAGACATATTCAATGAAGAAGGAGGATTTCAGGATGAATCCTAGACTTACTGCAAGAATAATTACAGATGCAATCAACTTAGATTTATAATAGTTTAAAAGAAATAAGTTAGGAATTTTTTTAGATCTCTACTTTTGTTGAAGATACAAATAACCACTTCAGAAAATGGTACTTTCATACTGAAAGACAAAGGCCATTTTTTTTTACAGATTTTCACAGAGATAACAAATAGAAATCAGAATTTAAGATATCTTTGAAAAGATAAAAACTACCCAAATTAATCACTGGAACACGCTAAGCAGAATCCAATTTCCTAGAATTAAAGACAGAGCACTGATCTTCTGAAATGGCCATTCTAGATTAAAAGCAGTGCATTGTGAATTAGGTCTTTTCCCCCACTTTTCATTTTCAGGTCCCATCATTTTGTTAAAGTTTATTTTTCACCTCATAATCTGAAACAGCTTAGATGGAGGGTACAATAAAAAATTCTATAAAGATCTGGAAAAAATAAATCAGTTAACATTTGCTTTATACTAGTGTATAATTATGCACTTACATAATTCAAAGCCATAAATCCAAGCCATCTTATTCACTAAGGAAATGCTTTATGTATATATGTATCGATAGACACACACGTGAATACAATTTTAGTCAAAAATAAAATATATATCATTTGTGACAACTGATATATAGTCAAATAGTGAGGGACCAAAAGAGTGAAAAGGTAAGGACAATAAAAGCACATTCCAGAGGAAATCAAAATAAGATGAACACTCGGAATAAAAGTAGAGGTGACAGGAACATGAGAAAAAATATTATTACACAGTTACATTTCCAGACTAAAGTAGTTAAAAACTACAATTATATTTGATACCCATTTCTATTTACCTCTATGAAATAGATTTGTTCATGTAACAGTAGTTGAAGAACCGGGTATAGAAGCTAGAATGCAAGAATACTTAAACCAAAGCTGTTTACCACAAATACTTCTGCTACTACTGTGGGTATAGAAAAGAACACAAATAAATCATCCAGAAAAAGAAGGGTACACCCATACCCCTATTGTAATATAGATGGATGAAAAGTCTGAGAACTTGCCTCTTTCTCAGTGTCTCTAGAGATACACGTCCACTGGTTCTCCTTCACACTGTACGCCCAGAAGTCAGCAAGATCTTGTGTTCCATCCCAGCCACCAAACAAATATACGGTCTCTATGAAAATTAGAAAAATATGCATAAAAAAACCCTTAAGGATAAAATTTAAATACAGGCACCCAGACGTAGCCATAGTTTTTAAGATCACTTAAAAAGGCACTTCTAAATAAACTTAAAAATGAAATTTGTCAATGGGTACCATTTCAAAATATATACTAGGCTAGTATCTCCTAAACATGGGTATATGGAAAGGCTGCTGCAGGACCACCTATTTTGAGAGATTGGTAAAAAATACAAATAACTAAGAGACATTCCCCGAGATTCTTTCATAGGTCTTCAGTGGTTAAGAAGAGTCTGTATTTTTTTCAACTATCCAGAGTGAATCTCATGTACTGCCAGTTTAGGAGTTTCTGTGCTAAGCCACAAAAAGTTTACATTTAGCAGCTTCTTAGCAATGCAGTGTCAGATTGTTAAAAAAAAAAAAAAAGAAAGAAAGAAAGAAAATAAAGAAATCCCAAAGGAACATATGGTCTAAAATAGAACATAAATACATCTAGCTGTTTCTGAAAAACAAAAACAAAAACAAAAACAAAAATAAAAAAACTTCACATTAAAACTGTTTTCCTTCTAATGCAATATCAAAAACAATGGTTAAAACTAGCTCTGGGAAGTTAAAACTAGACACCTCAAGAATAAGGTGATGTACTGCCTTGGCATTCCCATGGAAACTAGGGAAATTTTTTCCAAATATATTATGGTAGGCTTAACTCCTCAGAAGTCAACCTTTAAGTCATTCCAGGTATCTTGAAAATTAGGTTTCTTCTAACTCTGAAATGTCTATTATATCCATGGGCTGTTTCACTGCAACAAAACTGATTTCTTGCCCCATGAATAGTGACAATCTTTATACATAACACTGTTATCATCCACCTCCTTCTTTATAATAGTGCCTCTACTTTCTTCAAATATTTCCCCCCTTTTAAATGTCTTATATCTACTGCTTACACAAGCCCCCCAATTATTTAAAAAGTTACATTTTCTTTTCTTTCTTTCTTTTTTTTTTAAAGATTTTATTTATTTGAGACAGAGAACGAGACAGAGCACAAGGCAGGGGGGAGCAGAGAGAGAGGGAGGAGCAGACTTCCTGCTGAGCAGGGAGCCCGCTGTAGAACTTGATCCCAGGACCCTGGCCAGGATCATGACCTGAGCTAAAGGCAGACACTTAACTGACTGAGCCACCCAGGTGCCCCTCTTTCTTTCTTTCTTTTTTTTTTTTTTTAAAGTAAGCTCTATGCCCGACACGGGACTTGAAGTCATGACTGCAAGATCAAGAGTCACATGCTCTACTGACTGAATCAGCCAGGTGCCCTTTTTTTAAAAAGTTAAGTAAGACATACAGGAACATTGTAAAGCTATCTACTCCCTAACTGGCATGACTTAGGCCTATTTATGTGGAGACTGTCATCTAAGTTAGGCCCCATCACGAACAGTTACAATTCAAAGTACACTTAGAAATACTGTAACATCATTAAGAAAATTCTTGACATTCATAGAGCTGGACTGTCTTCTAAGAGATTTTTATCATATTTTCATGTAATTTCAAACACTAAGTGAATTTTCTAAGTGAAATGTCCCATTCTATGCCCCAGAAGCTACAGAAATCAAAACAATGCTTCTGGTTAAGAATATACCATTGGAACAGGACTGAGTTCTAGTGCTAACTGGGCAATCAAATCAAATACAGGCCACATAACCTCCCTGGGTCTTAGTTTTTTACTTACAAAACTCTCAGTGTTGTGGTGTAGTTCTTCAGTTGTAAGTTACCTGAAAACATTCTGAAGGCTATCAAGCACAAACAGCACTTCTACTTTTAAAACATGCACAAAAATAAAAAATACTCTGTAGTTAACTAAGTGCCACAGATGCAATAAAAACAGCATTACTGTATCCAATTCCATGACTAACTCAGTACCTAGAACTTTCTGGCTCTGTACAAATGTGAAATAATGGCAATTATTTGAAACCTAAGAAACTATCATATCTCAGAACTATAAAACAATTCATTATCATTAGTTAAGTAACATTCTGTTTCCCAAATGGCATGCAGCAATACCAGATACTTCAAGTTTTACAGGGAAAAAAAAAGAATTTTCATCTGGCTTAAAAATTATTTGCCAAGGCCTCACTGTAAAGGCAATTAACCCTGTTAAATTCTGAAGCCAGGAGAGGGAGGGGGTGTATAACTAAAATAGCAATAGCAATTGACCTTTTGTTTTATAGTGTTTCTGGGTACCCTCTGGATAAGGTTACCCTGGTTCATTAACTTTAATAACCCTTCCTCTTGGGCTCTGGGTTCTCAATGTTCTTTCTGAAAAGCAGGTCTCTTTGTACGCATAAATTCTCACAGCAAAGAAAACCCACATTTCCACAACAGCCTCATTGATAGCTGAGCAAAATAAAATCTGGCAGAGAGCAAGCATCCCAATGGAATCAATCCAAGATGTCATTCTTGTCTGTGAATGCTTTGTAGTCCCAGCTGAAGTTTAATAGTAAAATTGAATGAATCAGATGGAAACAGGACCTTTTGACATACCTGAATAAAATGCATGACAAAATTTTAATTATATCATCTAATCATTTAAGTTAAATCATTCAGAGATGAAATATTATCTAGAAACAAACATGAGCAAAAGTATCATTTAATGCGTAAAGGGTATCAAAAACTTTTAAAGATTACAGAATAAGTGGAGAGAACTGTATTAAGAAGTAAGGAAACAGAAAAAAGAAAACATTATTTGCAACAGGGTCCAGTCTCATGCTTATCCTTACGTAACAATTCATGTAACAATTCATGTACATCCCTGGGCAGTACAGTCTTCCTCAAGCAGCAGCCCATTCTCTATATTTTTTTCTTAAAGGCACATAGGCTGTTGTGGCTATCCATTTCTCCCAGCACTGAGAGGAACGTACAGTCAATGTTTTCCCAGGGCTAGTCTGAATTGATAAGGTATTTCACAGAAAAGAAAGAAGACAGTCCCTATCCTCAAGGAGCTTACAATCTAATCAAGAATATAACACAAGTACATAAATCATCATATGCAGGGCAGACTAAATGCCATAAGAAAGGTAAAAAGCACCATCCGAGTTCAAAAGAGGGAAGAGAGTATATACCTGAGGGGACTCAAGAAAGGTATTTGACCTATGCATCAGAACGTGGCTCTGGGGGCACCTGGATGGTTCAGTCAGTTAAGCGTCAGACTCCTGATTTCGGCTCAGGTCATGATCTCAGGGCTGTGAGATGGAGCCCCATGTAGGGCTCCGTGCTCAGTGGGAAGTCAGCTTGAGATTCTCTCCCTCTCCCTCTGCCCCTTGCCTGCTGACATGCATGCTCTTTTCCTCTCTAAATAAATAAACCTTAAAAAAAAAAAAAAAAAGACGGTGCCTCTGTTGGCAGAATGGGAGAAAGAGAGTAGAACATTTCAAGCACGGTAAAAAGTATAACAAAGGCACAGAGACAGAAAAACACATGAGAAATGTTTTATTTAATTTTTTTAAAAAGATTTTATTTATTTGAGAGAGAGTGAGCATGAGGGAGAGAGAGAACAGGAGCAGAGGGGCAGAGGGAGGGGAGAAGCAGTCTTCTCATTGAGCAGGGAGCCTTACATGGGGGCTCCATCCCAGGACACTGGAATCATGACCTGAGCTGAAGGCAGACACTAAACCGACTGAGCCATCCAGGCGCCCCACATGAGAAATGTTTTAAAACACATGGACTCTAAAGTCAGGCAGATCTCAATAGAATGGCAGTTCTACCACCACAGCTGGGTTCCTTAACCACTGGTTTCCTCAAGTCCAAAATAGCACACCACAGCACCTAATCCATAAAGCTACTATCTATGAGTATTAAATTACATAATGCATGCAAAGTGGTTAAAACTGTGTGATGAGTAAATGCATTGGTCAATTTAAAAGAACACAAAGTACCAGGTGGAGATGATGTTAAAAAGACAGGTAGTGGCCAGATCATGGAAGGGGTTAAATGACAATATAAAGGCTTTGAACTCAACTCCACAGACCATCGAGGAGCTTCAGAAGATCCCAAGCAGAGATGTAACAAGGCCAGCTCTGAACTTGCAGCATTATAGGACTTGACTGAGAAGAAGCAGCCAGAAAAAGAGAGGGATTGGAAATAAAGTGACCAATATAGCCTATGTTCAAAATATCAAACCAATTTCATTCTGAGACTGAATGAATCAATCATCAATCAGTGAGTCAATCTGTCATTTCTGAGGCCACAAAAACAAATTCAACCATATTCTTTAGCACAAGTCTTTTTGGTACCAGTACTAAATAAACCCTCCAGTGACTTACCACCAGCAATACTAATATACACATCTTAAATATACTAAAAATAAGGTAGAAATATTAACACATCACTGTCTTTTCACCATTCAGCACAAAGAAGCAGGCTTTTTATTTTATGAGCCCAAATGCAAGATTTATCCTTCTATTCATTCTTAGGGGTAAATCAGACTGTGCTGACTGAATAATCCTCCACAAGATGGCACACTATTTTCATAATTAAATCCATGTTTCCACTTTGAAACAGTACAGAATACAAACCCTATACACTCACATAGCATGGGCCCAACATTAAACAAAATTTATGTGTCAAAAAGAAGAGGTAGGAAAAGAGTTAACAGGATAGTGAAGGAAGGTAACTTAATTCTTAGTTTAATATATAGATACCTTGAGAAAAACAAATGAAATGGAAAAAAAGTTTTAAGAAACATAAATTTATATTCAAGATAAAAATGAAACCATGTCAGAACATTTAATTCAAGAGTTTAATCCTTCTGAAAATGCAGTTAATAAGACCTTAAATTGACATGAGAATTTTGAAGAGAGGAATGAATTAGAAGGAGAAATCTATTTTACATGTTCTTTAACCTTACCTTCTTTAGCCATTCCCCTGAACTCTTATGACCCAGCAGATTATCAACTGGATTCATCTGCCTCCCTTTATAAACAGAACTATATTCTTACATAAAGCTATGATTACAAATCTAGAGACTGATACTTTGGTTGAATTCAATATATATTTCCTGTATATATATTTCAATATACTTTGTATTCTTACCAGAATTCCTTTCTGGTAACTATATGAAAGAAAAAAGATTCATGTCATTGGAAGCTAAAGAAATACAGCTAAGTGAATATGTTTGTAAATAACAACTAAAACCCATATTCACCTATTTCCTTCAAAAGTTTCTTTAAGGAATCTAAGGAAAACCTATATATGGCACTGTGGAAAAAAAAGGAATAAAGAAGCAAGCAAGCAAACACTTTCATACAATTAGTACAGAACAAAGGTTCAGATTTCCATAGAAGGGCTCTACCAAGTGACAAGCAACACGCCTTTAACCTCTATTTAGTTATCAAATACTGGGATTTTTGCCTGAGTCTCATTACCTATCCTGAGAGATGAAAAAAGGCTGGCACTATAGGTTCTCAAATTCAACGAGAGTTACCCAACAAAGAACTTTCTGGTACAATGAACATTTAAATTTTCATCTGAACAAACTTCCACACTGAAACAGAATAGATATACCTTTTCTCTCTATTTGCCCTATTTTACCCAGAGTTAAAGAACCGAACTGGAGAGGTGCCAGGTATAGGGATCATAGTCAATAAAACTGACATACATATTCAGTAGGACAAAATACTGTATTTCTTCTCTACCATGGTATAAATGACAGAATTCATTTAGGATGACAGAAAGCTCTGAAATTAAGTAGTAAAATGTATGCTATCAGGTACTTTTCTAAATTGTTACTCTACCCTTAGAGCTAGAGCAAAATGAAAAAAAAATAAAAAAATAAAAAAAATTTAGGAACCATTATATTTTTAAGAAAACAAGATACATGAAACACTGGGTAGCAATAATTGCTTTGAAATACAAGCCACTTTAAAGATGAAATGAACTCTATGAAGTTTTACACTAGTGAAGGTCTTCTTAACTTTTTAAGAGTCCTTTTGATGATCTGATTCTCTTCCTAGAAAAATGTACATACAAACAAAATTTTGTATATAACTTAAGCAGATTAAGAGCCCTTGCTCCAGAAATCCTTAAAATGAATATTTAAAATAATGACTGGGGGTCTCTACTACATTTCACTACTCTGGCATCAACTTTATTAAGATAAAACTTCTAGGTTATTCAAACTCTACTTGGGGAAAGTCATTCTTTACTACTAACTCTACCTAATCCTTATCAGCAAAATTCTTAATTTTTTTTTCTAAAAATCTTAGAAGTATATGGTTTCCCTTCCTCTCTAAAATATCAGTCAGGACAACACAGATAAAAGATGAAGCAAATATACTGAAATAACATTGGTTAGTTAAAATGTGGGATTATGGGTGAGTTATTTTTTTCCCTCAAGACTGCTTTTCAAGTTGTTTTAAATTATTTTTCCAAAGTTTTAAAATTGTTTTAAAATATTTCCACTGTGTGATTCTGTCAAAAACTCAAACCAAAAATTAAAAAGGTCTCTAGACTTACATAAAATTCTCATTAAAACCAATCAGTATATATTGTACATAATGTTGCACATAAAAATACATATTACATAAGTAATATATACATTATATATAAAATACATTATTTGATTTAACTCTCCCAATAACATATTATTCCCATTTTAATCATCATCATAACTCATTCATGATCAAATAAAAAGTCAGTGGTAAAGTCAGGATTCAACCCCAGGTATGTCTAACACACTGCCTTCTCACAAACTGAACCCTCAACCATTATATTTGGTTGCTATGTCAGTAAGACCAGACTAGAAAAAGTTCTTTCAAAGATTAACAATAAATATAATCTCTTTGAAGATGATTAAGATCAATCTCATGGTATCTGTTATAAGAGGGCTCTGGTACAGACATGATAGGAAAATACCTTGGTAACTGATACTATTAATAGTTTTATAACAGAAATAGAAGGATTTCTAAAGAGCAAATCCAAAGATATCCCAAATTCTGCTCTGTACCTAAATTAAATTCAGAAAGCATCAAACGTTGCCTGAAGGAATGCAAAGCTCTATATAACAGTTAATTTTTCTACCTAGATCCCAAGGTAATGATCACTACAGCCTTGAAGAAGCATAGTCTATATACTAGAAAAGAATAAGCAGAATCATCAGAAAATTTAAATATATTAGAATATAACCAACAACATGGGTGCCTAAGTGGCTGAGTCAGTTAAGCATCTGCCTTTGGCCCAGGTCATGATCTCAGGGTCCTGGCATTGAGCCCCGTGTTGAGCCTACTCAAAGGGGAGTCTGCTTCTCCCTCTGCCCCTCCCCCCTGCTTGTGCTTACTGTCTCTCTCTAATAAATAAATAAAATCTTAAAAAAAAAAAAAGGAACGCATATGTATATTTATTGGATTTTCAGAAGAAAGGAAGCCTAAGACTCTACAGCTGAGTCAAACCTGTATCTGTGGGAGGGAAAGGATTTGGGGAGATAGACCAACATTAGGGGAGCAAGGTCAGATGCCCTGAAATGAACCTCTTCCATACAGAAACTAGTAATACTCCTAAACCAGCTCACAGGTTACTATACAAATTTAGCAATTTATTTTAAGAGATATTATAACCTCTCTTCTTGTTACTTACAAAACATTTGTGAAAATACATTAATGCCTAGAAGATAATTATCTAAACTGCGATAATTTTTATTCTTAATTACTTTATGATGTGAGTCAACAAAAATTATTCCTGAGGCACCATGAATCAGCATAACACAGTAACAGAACTGAAAAAGTAAAAGTAAAATATTACTTGAATGGATACTGACACTCCCTTAAATATTCTAAAACCAAATAATAAAGGAAAATTATACTGAATTCTTGGTATTTGCTTTTCCAGATGGTAATTTAAAACCTACTATAATTTTAGCATTAACCTCTAAATACAATGGTATCTAAGTTGTCCCAGGCTGTAGAAACCTAAGAAAAATTTTACCAAGTTACAGAATAAAGTCTAAAAGGCAGCAAAAAAGAATAGCTAAAACAAATTATTTATAGGTTTATGAAGAGTGTTAAGCAATTAGTGGATCTATCAACACTTAAGCTACTTAATTTGATATTCTTTCTCAAAAAATATCTTCATTCTCTTGCAATAATTCCCATATTACAGCATTAAAATACAAGTGCACCGAAAACCCAGAAATACTCCACAGTTTACTACAAAAACCAAACATATATAAAACCACACACACTCACAGCTAGAAAGGGCAGCACATTTCTTTTAGGTTACCTAATATCAATTGTGCAGCAGTCTCCCTTCCCTCATGTGTTACTACCTCCTTTATGTTAAATCTGTGGCTAATGTCCTATTTTCTTTGCTACTTGGTTATTACGGCTGGTATTTCACCTCTGCAATGAATGGAAGAAGTATCTTTGTGCTTACCTTATATTTTAGAATGTATAACTTTTAAAAGAATTTGCTTTCCACTGCAAATATTCCTCACCTGTTTGAACATCAATAACCATTTGGTGGCCCCCTCTCATTCCTGGTCGGTTATCTTCTCCATCACCTGAAGAAGAAACAAATATGTTCTTTAAAAAGAATAAAAAAGAGGCGCCTGGGTGGCTCAGTCGTTAAGCGTCTGCCTTCGGCTCAGGTCATGATCTCAGGGTCCTGGGATCAAGTCCCACACTGGGCTCCCTGCTCGGCGGGAAGCCTGCTTCTCCCTTTCCCATTCCCCCTGCTTGAGTTCCTGCTCTTGCTATCTCTCTCTCTGTCAAATAAATAAAATCTTTAAAAAATAAATAAATAAAAAGAATAACAGAATAACTGGAAATCCAGAGTAACTGCATTCATAAGTCTGCAATGAGCAGTACAATTAAAACAGATTTATTCTTTCAGGGGCGCCTGGGTCGCTCAGTCGTTAAGCGTCTGCCTTCGGCTCAGGTCATGATCCCAGGGTCCTGGGATCAAGCCCCGCGTCAGGCTCCCTGCTCAGCGGGAAGCCTGCTTCTCCCTCTCCCACTCCCCCTGCTTGTGCTCCCTCTCTCGCTGTGTCTCTCTCTGTCAAATAAATAAAATCTTAAAAAAAAACAAAAACAAAAACCAAATTTATTCTTTCAATATCAAGAACAAGTAAAAAGACTCAAAAGAAATAATATATTTATGTTTATAATAATTACCCTGCTCTTTTTCAGGCTATTAATTCAACAGGAAACATTCTCCAATGTATTTATGACCAGTGCCATAAATCTGCAAGGATGCAGGATATTCCATAAAAACATTAAGACAAAAAATTCTAAACTATTGGCGTAACAAAGTGAAGGGGGAAAACAGTTACAGAATTAGATCTCAGGTCTCTAGTCCAAGCATACCTAATTAGTATAATGAGCAGTTTTAAAGTTCATACAACTAAGCTACTGAAAACTAATATGTTATTAAGTTTTGTATTAATTTATATTACCACATAACTTGAGTACCGACCGAGAAGTGTAAGATTTACTTCCCTCTGATTCCTATTTTCATCATGGAGATTAACAGGCAGTTTGAAATATAATCAGGGAAACTTTTAAACTTCTGTAGAACTATGGTTCAACTTGTATTATATCTTACTTTATACCAAATCTTATATAAAGATACAACTTCATTTCAATGGTTCAACAGGTTGCAGGATTCTAATGCCTGTCTTGATATAAACCAGAAAACTTTTTCTTTATAACTCCCCTATTAACTGAAATATATTACTTCAGCTAATAATTTTCCATGTCTCAGCTTTCTTCTATATAAAACAGGGACCATTCACGGTTTTACTAATTTCACTGGGGTACTGTGAAAAATACTGAAATGTCAGTTCTTATATAGGGAAGATATCACGCCAAACTGAAGTATCATTCCATTTCTACTGTATTCAAGGACTTTTCATTCAGAACTCCTCTGCAAATTCTTTCTCCTTTCCAATATAGTTATGTTAAGATTTCACGGCTTGTTATCATTGAGGTTTTATCTTTTTCTTCCTTCTTCCCCGCCCAGTCAGTATTGCCACTTTCAAGAACAGAGTAAGACACTAAAATAAATTTATTGTCAATATGTTTGCATTTTATATATTTAACCCATTAGTTTTCAAATACACAATTACAATCTGCTACAACATGTGTTTCTCTGACAAAAATTACCTCAAAAATGACTGATAAAGCAGGAGAAATGATGTCTGAATAACAGAAATTATGGAGGTTTGTAAGCAATTTTCTCCAGTATATTAATGTTTAACACTATCAGGGGAGAGCTTTCTCCCAATTAAAGAGAAGTGCTTAGTAATTTATGGACTGTCAGAAAAAAGCTAAACATCCACAGAACTGCCTTCCTTTAATGCAAGTAATTGCACTAAACAATTGCTACACTTTCCACTATATTAACCATCTGGCAAAGCAGTGAGTCAAGATCAAGAAGTGACAAATACTTTCCCCTGTATGAAAAAATGGATTAATGGAGAAGACTATGCTCTGGATCAGATTTTAAGTTTTGATAAATACCCTCTAAGGTTGACAGCTGAAAGAAGGAAGCATGAGTCCCAGGGCTTAAGCCTCCAATCTCACTGTGATGCTCAACAGAAATGCCTGTAAGGAGTTAACTGTACCAGTATTTATTTTTATCAGGGTTACCACGCTAGTTTTCATTCATATCTGCTTCAAAAGTTCCAGAGATTTAGAATGGCATGCCCCATTTCTACTTTCCTCATAAGCCCTGTTCATTTTAGTGAGCAATTCTGCAAAACTGAGGGTGTATCAGGAACACATTTGGCATGACAACACTATGCCTATAATTTTACAGTACCTCTATAAACGCAGTTTATGAGGGGATTTTGTGTTAAAACTGCCCAATCTTCTGTTGTAGTGATAAAACAAAAAGGTTTACAAGAAAAGTTTAATATTGTAAACTAACTCCTCTATCTAGTTAAGGAACCTATATCTTATGTTAAACACTTGATATCCCACACAAAGTACTGTAAAACTTGAGCTGCCCTGGGAAAAATGAAACTGAGACATTAAAGCAAAACCACTCACAACCCAGAAAATAAGGCTTACCTTTGGTGCTTTTGGGAATAATTTGACTCCATCGTGGCTTATATTCCTGTTGACTGATGTACTGATTGAACAAACCATCTGCAAATATCCAAGAATGAGAGAGAATTATTTATATCTTAACTGGCTTACACTTTTTATTATAGCAAAAAAACGAAAAAGCCTATATTAAGGGAAATTACTAAAAAGCACATTCTTAGAAAATGTGTCATTTCAGTTTTCACGCTATCTCAAATATAAATAGTAAAGTATTAGTTGACACAACCATGTAAACAAATTGTTTTAGTGGCAGCTCATACTAAATTTACTATGTTTTCCCCATTTTTGTCATGACAAATACAAGAAAACTAGAGAAGAAAATGAGTGCCATGATAACTTTGGTGTAGGCCCTTATATCTTCAGGAAGATTCATTTTGTCTTAGTTAAGATAGACTAAATATGACTTAATTAAAAAAACAACTTTATGAACTAGACATTATCATCTCTGTTTTACAAATGGAGAAACGTGTGTTTAGAGATATTAAGGAACTTAACCAAAATCATGCAGCTCTTAAGTGGTAGGCAGGGCCGTGTGTTTCACTCTGCCTTACTTCTGAACTTATTTCATCAATAAATTAGTAATTTACTTCTTAAGAGGAGTTGTTACACTAGCTGCCATAGATTGAACTCCCCATATGTATCTATTTCAATAATTATCAAGCCCTAATCCCATGTCCCTCAACAAAGATTAATTTAAGAATGGTGTGGACCCCAATTCTGGCTAATGTATCCAATGTTTCCTTTGCTTATAAATAAACATATCAAGAAGATAAATCTACTTTTATTCTTCTGGAAATTTTCCTATCTGTATGCAATGTACGGATCTGTACAGGTATGAGAATGAAGTCAATTCAATAATGACGACAAAGCAGAGACAGGAAAAGAAACTGGATCACTGAACTGACCAACCATGAAATCTACCTCTGGACTTGTCATGTCATATAATAACATATTCTTACTTTTTAAACAAGGGTTTTCTTTTACATGAATCCATGTAGATTATAATTTATAAAGACAACTTTACTATAAATTCTATCATTTGACTCTGATCTCAATCTGAAAAAAGGTTTTCCCTTTTTCTTCATTTAGTCCCTGAACATAAATACTTTTCCAAAGAATTTATAAGTAAAACTGTCTGTTCTCCGTGACTTACACACTTGCCATAGACTGGGTAACGTACAGACATCTCCCTAATTTCTTTCTTTTCTGGGTAATTATGAAGCTCAACTGCAACCACACCCTTTAGCTTTCAAGTCTTTTCAGATGGCTTTAACTAAAAACTTCCATCCCATATACGCCTCTAGTTGCTCTTTTTCTTTGCCTTTAGGACTTCAAAGTTTTTATAAAAAGAAAGTTCTAATATTCTTTCCTTTTGAAGTCAGCACTCAGACATTAGCGTTTGTATTTTAATTGTTATAGTAAGGGGAACAAGTAGATTCATGAGTTATTTTCTTTTAAGATTTTATTTATTTATTGGAGAGAGAGTGAGAGAGAGTGCAGAGCAGGGGGGGAGGGGTAAAGGCAGAGGGAGAAGCAGGCTCCCTGCTGAGCAGAGCCTAACGCCAGACTCCCGGGAAAGGATCCCAGGACCCTGAGATCATGACCTGAGCCAAAGGCAAACGCTTAACCAACTGAGCCACCCATGCTCCCGATTCATGACTTATTTTAGTGAGAGTGTTTCTATCATAATCTACTCCCCTGTGGGCTTTTCTGGTAATTCTTGCCCATCCACCCTACTCTGACCAATACTCTCCCATTACAAGAACTGGAAAGCTCTTTTTCAGATAAAATTAACAGAGGCTCCTATTAATAATGATAAGGTGATAGTAAAATATGTATCATTAATTTAGAATTCTATAGACATAAAACAGAGTAACTGAATTTTATTCAGTTTTGAGAAAGACACATAAAAGTTAAATAATCCTTTTTAAAAAATTAAACAGAAGACAATTATTTGATAAAGACAATGATTTTAAAATATGCATTAATTCTACATAATGGCTAACTGAAGAGAAAGAAAAAAGTAAAAGACAGGAATATACAGAGACGAATAGAAAACTAAGAAAGACAAGGAAACTGCAGACATGAAAAATACAAAGCAAAAATAGAGAAAACTAGAAAAGTTATAAATTTCATTTTTTTAACAGTAACCAATTGCCAGATTACATAAGTCTCTTATACTAATTATAATTAGTTATACAACTTTGATAAGTAAGTTCCTTATCCGTAAAACTCGTTTTTAAGAGTTGGATAGGGCCAGAGGTTCCTTCCAAATTCTGGCACACTAAGATTCCACCACTGTTATAACCCAATATATTTACTGGAACTATGTGTGTTTGGCCGATTTTACCTTATGTTCATTTTGGGAAAGTCTTCATCTCCTCTTTCAACCCTTAGGCGTTATTGCACTATTTGGAAAGGGAACTCATAATCCACCAGGGAAAATTCTTTTAAGAGCTGCTATGGCAGTGATCACATCAAGAGTTCTACTCAAATGAAGGATCCCATCCCTGATCTTTCAAGTCCTTCTGAACATTGCAAGTAAAATTAAATTCTCTAATTGTTTCTTCAACCAATCCTTCTACCCCCACTCCTACTAACCTAAAAAGCTTACAAATACTCTACCCATCAAGACCTTCATGTTGTTTTTCTTTAATCAAACACAATTGTCCTATGAAAATATTGTTAGTAATTTTCAAAGCAAAAAGAACTCCCCAACATTATATAATTTCTGTAAAATAATTTGTAAATACACACAGAGACACACAGGTGGAAAAAAGTAAAACACTGTAATGCATCAAAAAGTTATGTGGTTTTCTTTGGTTTCTAGGATTAGGATGATTTTTTTATTGGGGTTTTTTTTCTTTATACTTTCCTGTTTTCCCAATTTTTTTGCATTGAGTACTACAATTACCAGAAGCCACAAAACAACTAATATATGGAATTATTTTCTAAACCTCAAAAGAATTTTGTAACATAGTTATTGTTACATATTGTGACATAAGCCATTTTCATAGCCTTTGTTAGTCCTGAAATGTCTATTCTTCACAACTCACTAGACACATCCACATTTCGACAATCAGTGCTTTATACATTAACATTAGCTTGTTTATAACAAGACAAAGAGAGCCAAATATGTCCAAAGTTTATTTACAGTCAGGCTTGCAGAGGATATTACTTGCAACATTTAAAATATTAACTACTCCAAGTTTAAAATATTAGAAATTATGATGGTCTTATTCTAGGTAGATAAAATTAATCTTCTCCTGAAAAATGGACAGCTAATAGCACATCAGATATGCTCAGTATATAATAAAAGCTTAGAATAGAAAAAAAGGGCAGAGAACAGGGGGACTTTCCTAGCCACATGATTGACATTTCCTCTGAGTCATCTTAATGTTAGTATCTTAACATTAAAAAAAAAATCGTGCATAAAACAACTACTTTCAATAAAGCACATTCCTAGTATATAATGGTAACCCAAAAAGGCACACCATTTTGCACAGAGTAGCCAAGCAAACATTTGAAAAAAATTATTTGGGGAACTTTTAAATTTGTCTCCTTCTTTCCCTAATGAATTCCTTTTGTCTTCACTCTTCTAAAAGACAACAATTCTCTTTGATGTCTCCTACTCTTCTGTGGAGACTCTTATGAAACACAAAGAAAATTACTTAGATACAGCATCAAATCTGGAAATAACTTTTCAAAAAAAATCTTACCAAAGAAAAAAGAATTGACTTTTATTGAGTACCAACTGTGAGCAAAACACCACAAAGGTTAAACTAATTTACTCCTTAAAAAAACCCTACACTATGAGGATTATTAATTATTGCAAAGGTTAAAAAAGTAAGGTTTAGAGAAGTTAAATAACATGCCCGAGGACTCCCAACAAAAAGGTATAAAGCCCAATTTCAAAGTCCAAAATCTTTTCAACTCTCCGGACTAAATATAAAGATGGATATATATATATATACACATATATAAAATGGACTAACATACATATAATAGACTATTTTTTTATTACAATCTAAGATAAAATACTATGACAGACACGGCAAAATTTACCTATTCAACAACACATGAAAATAACCAAGACTTTGGAAAAGAGAACTTGCCATACCAGATCATTCTACTACATATTAAACAAATCCAATCTTAAAATAATGAAAAGAGTTGAAAAAATTATGATTTATTTTTTTAAGATTTTATTTTTTTGACAGAGAGAGACACAGTGAGAGAGGGAACACAAGCAGGGGGAGTGGGAGAGGGAGAAGCAGGCTTCCTGCGGAGCAAGGAGCCCAATGTGGGACTCGATCCCAGGACCCTGGGGATCATGACCTGAGCCAAAGGCAGATGCTTAACGACTGAGCCACCAAGGCACCCAATTATTTATGATTTAAAGGAAACAATGTAATCTCCCTCTTAAATGAAGACCTACTGCTACTGTGGCTAAAGTTTACTTTTTATGTTTCATATCTTCTCTGGAATGCTGGTTTGCCCTACCCTAGATTACTTACTGAAGCATTCCTGTTGTTTGCAAGTGGTTCCTTGTAAGCAATGGCTTGTTTGAGAAGTTAGCTGTTCTACCAAAAAACAAAATAAAAACCAAAGCAAACACCTCTTCTTTTGAAAGAAATCATGGCTTAACGTAAGACAAAAGCTAGAAATCTATGAATTTATAAATCTATAAATTCCAGCCCTCTCATATCCCTCTACACTACCAACTATCCAATTCTCTTATTAGCTTCTTGACATTGATTCATGTTATAATATTAAATCATATAACCACTCCAAACAAAAAATATTATAATGACTTAAAAAAATATGTATTTGCATTTTACAGAGAAACATGATAAAGATGACTCTCATTTAATCTATCCTAATATGCATTATTGCCTCTTGCCAGGGAAACGGGGTTATCAATAAATAGTCCAGATGGATCTGGAGTAGGTTACATGGAATAGCTACTTTCAATAAAATGACATGCTTTAAGAATCTTCTTTTATGTCTTCAAAAAGAAAAGTAATAATGCAAATGTTTAT